CGTTAGCAATTAAGACATATCTAGCCATACATTAAAATTACAAATATTCTACGATTAAAAACGGAAAGTTGAAATTTACTTTGAATGTTTTGGGACTTACGTACCCTCTCAGGAGGACAATAATTTTACAGTACTTTAACCCCCTCGAGGATACAGCCACTAACAATCTATGTTACTAATTCAAACTTCCAATCATAAAATATTTAGCTATTTACAAATCTGTTAACAAATCTAATTCTTTTTAAAAGCAATACTTAAATGAGGACTTATATTTGTAAAAGATCCTTCATAGTTCGGGATTTGAAATAGATATCCCTTGTGATGGAGTACTCAACACAGTCAAGCAAGACATGCTTGACCGTGATTCGTTCATCACAAAGGGATACAAATAGTGGATCCTCACCTTTTAATAGGTACCAATGCGTATATCTAGTGTGGCCAATATGACATCGTCGCATAATGACCTCTTCAAATCTGGACTGACAACCCAAGTAAGTGTAACCGATATAGGGTTTTATTGTATGTAATTTATTGATACCTACTTGGGTGTCCCACTTCTTTTGCATCAGATCACGGATATAAGATCTTATAGCAGCTTTGTAATCAGAGTATGGGATAAGAAGTGGTGTCACAGATTTGTTGAGTGCTGCCTTAGCAGCAATATCAGCTATTGTGTTCCCAGAAATGCCAACGTGGCTGGGTAACCAACAAAAGACGATGTCGCATTGGCCAGTAGCAAGTTCATTGTACAATTCAATAATGTCTAATAAAAGTGGATGTTTGGAAGAAAGATTTTTTATAGCCTGAACACACGAAAGAGAATCTGAAAAGATGATATATTGTTTATATTTACGGTGTTTGTTAATATATTTAGGAGCTGTTAGTATTGCATGTGCTTCTGCTGTGAAAATTGAACTGTCATTAGGTAGTCTGGAAGATATTGTTTTGAACCCAATGACAGTGGCACAAGCAACCGCGCCACCATCTTTGGATCCATCTGTAAATAAGAATTTATATGTATTATATTTACTTTTCAATTGATTATATTCTTGTTTATATTGTAATTCATTTGTTTCTGCTTTTTTAAATGATGTAAGTGTTAAGTCAACTTCTGGTCTAACTAACTGCCAAGGAGGAGAAGAAAGAAGACGGGAAGGAGCTATATTTTCCAGCTCAATGCCGGCAGCAGCAATAAATGGCTTAATTCTGAGCCTAAGAGGCGGAACAAAAGAAGGTTTTTTGTCAAACAAATCCTCATAGCTGGGATTAAACACACAGCTAAATGCAGGGTTAGACTCGCTAGAATATAGTTTAGTAATGTATTGTAAGGATAATTTGATACGACGTTGTGTAAGAGAAAGCTCATCTGCTTCAACATATAGACTATCAATAGGAGAGGTTCTAAAGGACCCAAGACAAAGTCTTAGGCCTTGGTGGTGGACAGAATCAAGTAGTTTTAGGTTGCTTTTGCAGGCTCCACCATATACGATGGAGCCATAATCAAGTTTCGAGCGGATCAATGATCGATATAGGTGGAGCAGGGTAGCTTGATCACCTCCCCACTTTGAGTTGGAAACAACTTTCAACAAATCGAGTGCCTTCAGGCATTTGGCTTTGAGTGATTCTAATGTGCGGCAAAAAGGTTAAATGGGAGTCGAAAATGAGACCCAAGAATTTGGCCTCCTTAACAACTTTGATGGGAGCGCCATTTAAAGTTAGGTCTGGATCTTTATGCGGTTTATATTTTCTACAAAAGTGTAGACAATTAGTTTTGGACTTGGAAAATTTAAAGCCGTTTTCTAGACACCATTTATTTATTTTGTTTAAACACAACTGCAATTGCCGTTCAATAGTATGCATATTTTTACCACGACAAGAAATATTAAAATCATCCACAAAAAGTGATCCATCAACTGAATCGTTTAAAACCTTGGATAAACCGTTGATCTTGATACTAAATAAAGTGACAGACAAAATACTGCCTTGAGGGACACCCTGATCCTGATTGTAATGATCAGACAGGGTTGAACCCACTCGGACTTGAAATTGTCTGTCTTTCAAAAACTGTGATATAAAAAGAGGCAAACGGCCTCTCAAACCAAAGTCATGTAAATCCTTCAAAATGCCATGCTTCCAGGTCGTATCATAAGCTTTCTCAAGATCAAAGAAAATTTATACAGCATGTTGTTTATTTACTATAGCATTCTTAACAAAGGATTCTAAGCGTACCAAATGATCAATGGTACTACGATTTTTCCTGAAACCACATTGGATATTGGTTATAAGGTTATTGGTTTCAAGATACCAAGTTAATCTATTATTCACCATACGTTCCATGGTTTTACAGACACAGCTAGTTAGAGATATTGGTCTGTAATTAGACGGATCTGTATGATCCTTGCCAGGTTTTGGTATCGGTACTACAATGGCATTACGCCATGAGGGAGGAAAATTTCCGGACGTCCATATTTTATCAAATATATCTAAAAGTGTCATCAGACATGGTTCAGGCAAGTGTTTCAGTAGCTGGTAATGTATATTATCATCACCGGCTGCAGTGTCATGAGCTTGTTCAAGAGCAGTATGTAGCTCATGTAATGAAAACACTTCATTATAATCCTCACCAATATTTGATTCGAAATTAAGTTTTGTCTTTTCCTGTTGTTTCTGATATCTCTGAAACTCAGGGACATAATTTGCCGATGACGAATTTTTGGCAAGAGTGTCGCCAAGTTTATTTGCAATTGTAGACTTGTCGGTAAGTAAATTATCACCATCTTTAAGATGGTGAACAGCAGACTTTTAACCTTTGCCTTTAATTCTTTGAACCATGTTCCATACTCTGGACATGGGCGTACGTGAATGAATTTTGGAGACATAATTTCTCCAAGATTGCCGTTTGTTTTGTTTGAAGGTACGACGTGCCTTCGCATTGAGTATCTTAAATTTATTTAAGTTATGGACAGTTGGGTGATGGCGGAAATAGTTCTCTGCCTTTTTCCTCGCTTTTCTGGCTTGCCTACAATCAATATTAAACCATGGTTTCCGTACATGTGGAGTTGTAGAGGACTTTGGTATACATTCATCAGCTATTTCATTTAAAACGTCAGAATAAACCTCAGTAGGATCAGTTAAATCACTGAAATATTCGGGTCTTAGTTTAGATGTGCATAAAGTTTGAAATAAGGACCAGTCTGCCTTGGAAAATTGCCATCTTGTATAAGATGTAGAATCAGATGGATAAATTCCTGATAGGATAGTTGGAAAGTGGTCACTTCCACAGAGGTCATTGTGGACTGACCAATCAAATTCATTCAGGAGGTTCGAGTCTGCAAGAGACAAATCTAGAGAAGAGTAGGTGCCGGTTGCAGGATGCAGATAAGTGCTTGAATCGTCATTGTATATACACAAGTCATTATTGGAGATAAATTCTTCAAGTATTTTACCTTTAGAGTTAGTGCTTGTACCACCCCAGATCGGGTTATGGCCATTAAGATCACCCATTATAAGACAAGGTTTAGGAAGTTGGTCATAGAGAGCTTGGAGATCAGACTGTTGGAGTGTTGAAGAAGGGGAAATATATAGAGAGCATATTGTGAAGGCAACATGAAGAGTAAGTCTCACTGCAACGGCTTGAAGATTAGTTGTAAGTGTGACAGGGCTGTGAATTACATTCTGTTTAACAAGAATTGAAGACCCGCCAGTGGCCCTATCACCCGGAGGTGAGAAAGAATGATATGCTTCGAACTGACGTAGATTAAAAGTATCTGTCTGTTTCAGATAAGTTTCCTGCAGACAGAATGCCGATGGTGCCAGATCCTGGACTAATAACTGCAGTTCATTAAAATTAGACCTTAATCCTCTACAATTCAACTGTACTATATTGTTAGAATACATTAACTGTTTGGTGGGTTGATTGGAGATCTACCCCGCACTCTTCTTGAGGGCGACAAGCTATGTGCCCTATTTTGGATGTTTTCGGACACATCCATGTCCTCTAAGGATCCGAACTTATTAAAAAGTTGGATTTTGTTATTAGAACCCTTTGAGGCTCTGCCACTTTGATTCTTTTGTGAAGATTCACATCTAGATTTAGGCTTTTTTGTAACAGTTTCTGTCATGTTTGGTTGAGATTGAAATTTTGTATTTGGCTGAGATGATTTCTCCATAGGACAAGGTGCATCATGAACACGTGTGGCCTCTGGAATGACTTCTGTAGTTTGAGTGGATGTTTCGGGTAGCAAAATCTGAGGAGCGTCAGTATTAACCCATGTTAAGTTGGTTTGACAGCATGCAGAAGATTTGACTACGGTCAAGGTTGGTTCAGGTGAAGTTCTGGTGACGGAAGCATAAGTTTCTGTGAGGTCCGATCTTTGAACAAGTTTTTTTGCATCTGCAAAACTAATGTTTTGAGTAAATTTAATTCTGTTGATTTCCATGTTCGGTTTCCAAATTGGACAGTCCTTTGAGAAAGATGAGTGGCTACCGGCGCAATTAGTGCATTTCTTAAAGTTGTTGGTACAATCTTCTGTCGTATGTGTCTGCTCACCACAATGGGCGCACGTGACAGACAATGTACAAGTGTTCACTCCATGACCGAATTTTTGGCACTTGAAGCACCTTAATGGATTAGGAACATAGGTATCAACAGTGATGTTACAGTATCCAGCTTTTAATGATTTCGGAGCAATTGGAGAGGAAAAGGAAAACAAGTACGTGTTGGTTGGAATAGTTTCTTTGTTTTCGGATTGTAAATCTTTTGACATAAATGACACCTTGATCTTTCATCTCTGTTACAATATCTAATTCCGTCATGTCCGCAAACAATTGATCCCGATCTCGAATTATGCCTTTGCTTGTGTTTAGCGTTCTATGAGCTGAGACTGACACTGCAATTCCTACAAACAATTCCGTTGACATCAGGTTTGCAGCTTGCTGTCTTTTACTACATTCAATGAGAAGAGCTCCTGAACGCAAGCGTTTCACGTTTTTGACGTCACCTGCAATGCCTTGAATAGCCTTTGAAACCGCAAAAGGGTTCAACTTCAGTGGCGTCTTATCATGAGTCTCGATCACTACAAAGTGGGGCCAGTAATCAATTGATTGGGTCGGTCTGTGTTCATCATCGTCACGATCAATGTCTAGAGGACGTTTCGTTTTCTTAACGGGGGTTTCGTAAGCCATGGTTAAAGTTAAGTGGTTCATCATCCGAGCTCCCCACCCACCACGGAGTATCACAAGGACAATGCGAAAAACAAGCGGATCTCCGACTTGCAGCACCAAGGATACCCGGATGACATACTCCAGCAGAAAAATTAAAAGATTAATGAATCCACCAGATTGGCCCATGAGCCACCGCCTTCTGGGCATACGACTCTAGGCAAAAACATACATGAAATTGTTTAGTTGAAATTCAAAAATTCAAAGTTCAAAAATTGCCAAGACTTAAAAATATCATATAATAATTCTCAAATTTTGTGCAACATTTTACAGTTGTAGCACAGGGCTTGGCGTGACCAGCCGATTGATTGAACCGGGCCAGTTCAACCACCCGTCTAGGGGCGAAGTGGTGTGTTGGGCAAAGGAACACTGTTCCTGGAACCAGCGCCCTCAACCACCAGCCTCCCGTCCTCCACCGACACAGGGGCGCAACCCACGGCAAACGGGTTGGTGGACCAAGTATCCCCCCGGGTCCACAACGGGGGGTTGAAGGGCGCTTAGCGTGACCCAGCACCCACCACGAGGAGGTGGCCCTTCATGGGTGCCTTTAAGCAGCAGTATCTTCTCCCCATTACATAAATGGAATATTCCAACAGACAAGGTGGACAAATGCCTACACAATGAAAAAATGCTGGGTGAGGTGAGGTGAAATTGGGTTTAACGTCGTGCTTGAGAATATTTCGCTCATATGACGACGTGCATGCGTGTGTATGTGTGACTGCTTGTACTAGCCCAGGCTTAAGCTGGTTTATAGTGCTAGCTATAGCCCACTGAGATACCATGCCGCAGTGAAGCATGAATACCCCACTCAGACACATTATACTGACTCCGAACCGACCAGTCCTTGTTGTACCCATTAATGCCGAGCGGCAGGCAGAGACCAACAAGTACCATATTTTAATGTCTTTTGGTATGATGCGGTCGGGGATCGAACTCTCCGGGCGGACGCTCTAACCACTACACCACGGAGGCGGTATAAATGCTAGGGGTTTTCATACATTTGTGAAATGGAACAATAATTGAATTCATATCTTTACATCTGACAGGGTCAAATATCTTTACATCATCTTATGCATATTTTGACTGGCAAAACGTCTGAGAATTTGTTTTACTGCATCTTCACTAGTCGACCAACAGCACTGAGAAAGTCCGCGGCAGCCTTCACACCAACTCGTAGCTGATCCTTTAGTCTATCAAGCCTGCTGTCAATCTCCTTGTACACACGACGTCGTGGCGGTGGTTTAGCTCCATGGATGAACTAAACAAGCTTGTTCCGTTCGGTCTTCTCGAGCTTCTGAAAAACCTTCACCAACGCAAGGTGTTTGGATGAGCTCTCATGACGACCTTGTTCAGATGGGAATGCCACCCCTCGAGATGGTTGTTCGTGCGAGGTCCTAGGTTGTCATGCTGGTTCCAGATTCCAACTCTGTAGAAGGCATGGTCGTCAACCCAGGTGCTGGTGATGTAGTCGTGTCACTGGACCTTCTGTGGAATGTCGGGAGCATCTTCCATGATAATCTCTACCCGGGCATCCTGAACCTGCCTCGCAGGCAGAAAGGGTAGAGCTGCAGCACGCCTAATCCACGTATACACCTCAGGATCCTGGAGATAGACATCAGTGAACTTAAGTTCTTGCACCCTCCTCCACAGAGCTTGTGAATAGTGAAAGTAGCCACCACGGACAGCACTATTTGGGAACAATGCTTCTGTGGCTCTGATGGTGGCGATTGCAAAGTCTGTGTGGATGCTAGTTGGCTGAAACTGTGGTACATTTACCTAGAGAACCACCTTGTACACACTTCGACTGCGCACATGTCAGGCGCCGGTTATTCAGCCTGTACCTGCAGCCATCTCACAGAACTTGCTGCCCACCTTCTTGCGCCGTGTAGTACTCTACCTTCTTTGGATTGCCATTATTTGAACCAAACTGATGAAGATGGTTTGGGGTTTAACGTCGGCTTCTGACTGTAGCCAATGTCGCCGACGGGGTAGGTGGGATATAAGATAATAATTAATAAGTTTATAATAAGGAATAAACCGCCGTACCCCAAAAAATGTAAATGATGGGGCGTTAACCTAAGTGGAATTTTGAATAAAAACTGTTTGAAACCAGATAAATGAAATAAAAATAGTAAAAGCCGAGTTTATGAAGGGAAAAGAGAAATAAAAGGGTTAATGATTGTTAATAGGTCAGAGATAGGATTAAATTAAACGATAGATAATGTAAATGGGGGCCTAGGATGTGAGTGGGGTGGGGGTTGGGGGAGGGTAGGGAGGTAGGGTAAGTTGTAAACCCGTATAGCATAGTGGGGCATAGAATATAGATGCAGTTAAGCTGCATTAGTTTAATAAAGGGACTGTATAAAGAAGGCGTGTGCAGAGTATGGGTAATTCAGTTTGAGCGGCGGGTCTGAAAGTGTGGGCTTATTGGTTATACTTGGGACATAGAATGGATAACTGAGGGTTGATCGCCTGGTCTAAATGTAACAGTATGTTGAAGGTGAGAGAGGTGTATGTAGTTATAAGGGAGGTTCTAGATCCTTTGTAATAAGTTTGAATTTTGAAGGTAGGCTGCTATGACATTGCAAATGATGGGGGCCTTGTGTGGGTTTAGGAGTAGTGGGATATTGTTGTGATATTTAGGGGGAATGCTGTTGTGTAGTTGCTTGATATTTGCTTGTTGTAGTTTGGAGTGAATGAGTATGTGGTTTATGTCTTCTTGAGTATTGCAGTGTGTACATAAGCCATATGTATGTCTATTTTGTTTATAAAGTGTGTGGTTTAGGTTTGTGGTGCCTGTGATGAGTCTGTATATAGCCGTGTCAATGTTTTTAAGGTTAGAGTATACAGGGACCAAACTATGCAGAAGTCCCAATTTATTTCAACATATTTCCTTCTCAAACTTACTCAGTACAAAATCTATTGCATGTTAAACAGAAGTAATTAAATTGCTTTTACATACAGTAGAACATGGATACAATGAATTCCAAGGGACCAAGAAATTTAGTTCGCTATATCCGTTGTTCGTTATTCACAGTTTGACCGCCATCTTGGATTTGGCGGTGCCAAAATCAGTAGACACAGATTTTGCAAGAATAGATTCGCGATTCTTAATAATGGAACTGAAAGTGGATTTTGGAATGCCAAAGTCGAAAGCGATGTTTGTCTTAGATTTTACACCTGAATCTACAGCCTGAATTATCCGAAGCTTGGTGTCAAAGGTGATAGCTTTACGTTTGCCTGCCATAGTGACAAATAATTAGAGTGAACTGAAGACCTGTATACCAGTCAAGCTTTTAAACACGATATGTTTGTTTTGATAATTAATTAATGTATACCGCTTACTGGCTGAGCTGACACTGAGTGAATTCGCTAATCACGGCGTTAATTGGGTCTTTGGGTAGTAAATCAGTTCGCTATAGCCGTTAATTCGCTACTCTTGAGTTCGTTATTCGCGTATAATTTTAATGACATTATAAAGGACTATTGACGGGACTTTTATATTTGTTCGCTATATCCGTTTGTACGCTATATCCGTGTTCGCTATATCCATGTTCTACTGTATATAGTTCCTGTTGAGAAAGATAGACAAATTGTATTGAAAACAAGCAAAAAGGATACACGAGGCACTGCTTGTGCTGATATGATGAGATAATCTCTAGGAAGGTTTCATAGTGTAAACAGGTTAAACTCATTAGGGTGGAAGTGACCACTTGTGTGCAGGAAAGCCTATCACTGCTGCTCCCCTAAAACAACATACTCCGTAGCTATTATTGCCTGTAAGCATTAAGAAACCTAACCCCTGAGACCGCCTGGCAGTTGACAGGTGTTTGTTTACACACCAACGGTGCTATGTCCTTACAACTGCCTTTGTGTTGTTTGGTGAAAAAAAATATTTGGTCACCTTTTTGGACACCGTCAAAAACGTATTTCCCCATTCTCGATTTTCTTGGGTTTTGTGCACATGATAAATAGACACATGTGAACACTTTTCTGCAATAACTGGCTTCTTACCACAACTGTCTAGGTTATTTCCTTTTTACGTCGATTTCTTCTGGTCTAGTGCGTACTGAGTCCACCAAGTGCATGTTTCAAAAGGCTTGATTTGCATGACTACCTACGTCTTTAACTGCAGCTGTTACTGCGCATTTGCAGTGACCAAGTAGCCTTGAATTACAAGCGCAGTCTGGGCACGGGAGTACACTGCACCGACACTGATAACATTCAGCCTGTGAGTATTACCGTCATGACCATGCGGTGTTTCTTTGTTATCGATAATATCGAATAGATTCGTTGAATGTGTGTATTTTCGTTTATAGCATAGCCTTAGTATATTCATCTTTAAGTCTTCAAGGTTTTCTCGATGTATGCATAGTGTGTGCGTGTGTGTGTGTGTGACCTCGTATGACTGTACATGTATTTGACGTACATGTAATCACGAGACAAGATTTATGTGTGACAGGTCAACCTGCCCTCTGGGGCGGTGTACGGCAAATAAGGTATTATGTCACAGCTCGTACCTGCTGTCTGGTATGGGGTAAGGGAACTGAGGTATGTATGTGTTAATTCGTAGTTGTTGTCTGGTATGGGGTGAGGGAACTGAGGTATGTATGTGTTAGGGCGGTGGGGTAGCCTAGTGGTTAAAGCGTTGGCTCGTCACGCCGAAGACCCGGGTTCGAATCCCCACATGGGTACAATGTGTGAAGCCCATTTCTGGTGTCCTCCGCCGCGATGTTGCTGGAATATTGCTAAAAGGGGCGTAAAACCAAACTCAGTCAGTTAATTCGTAGTTGTTGTCTGGTATGAGGTTGGGGAAACTGAGGTATGTATGTGTTAATTCGTAGTTGTTGTCTGGTATGGGGTAAGGGAACTGAGGTATGTATGTGTTAATTCGTAGTTGTTGTCTGGTATGGGGTAAGGGAACTGAAGTATGTATGTGTTAATTCGTAGTTGTTGTCTGGTATGAGGTTGGGGAAACTGAGGTATGTATGTGCTAATCCGTAACTGTTGTCTGGTATGAGGAAAGGGAACTGAGGTATGTATGTGCTAATTCGTAGTTGTTGTCTGGTATGAGGTTGGGGAAACTGATGTATGTATGTGCTAATTCGTAACTGTTGTCTGGTATGGGGTAAGGGAACTGAGGTATGTATGTGTTAATTCGTAGTTATTGTCTCGTATGAGGATGGGGAAACTGAGGTACGTATGTGTTAATTCGTAGTTGTTGTCTGGTATGGGGTAAGGGAACCAAGGTATGTATGTGTTAATTCGTAGTTGTTGTGTGGTATGGGTTCGGGACCGAGGTATGTATGTGAAATATTAAAACTGCTGTCTGGAATGGGGTTTGTGAACTGAGGTATGAGGAAAGGATAAACTTGATGAAATTAATACATCTGCATATATGTAATTTGATGAGTTGGGAAGGTATAATATAAAAGCATAGTTTGTATAGGTACTTGTCTATTGTAAATAACCCTGAAATAAGGCTTGGACTGTAATGTATCAGCACGGCTAGGGTACTTACACATTCCCAAACACCACAAATGTGAATTAAGCTCGGCATTTGTCTTCATGGAAAGTGGGTGAGTGTGGTTTTATGCCGCTTTTAGCAATATTCCAGCAATAGCACAGCTTGGACACCAGAAATGGGCATCATTCATTGCACCCGTGTGGGGAATAGAACCTGGACCTTCGGCGTGATGAGCGAACGCTTTAACCACTAGGCTACCCCACCACCCTATTTGTGGAAAGGAGTATCCCAGTGATAAAGTGTTATCGCATTCAAGTACCCAGATGGGATGCAATGTCGGTAGCACATGTCAGATGTTGTCCGTTCTTCTGGAATATTGTCATAAACAGTGAAATTATATTCACACAACACCGTTTTGCCAAAATCGAAATAGCATCAGGAAATTCAAACCTACATATAAATGCTAGAAACAAACCCTTTTCAATATTCATGAGAAATTTCTGCTCCTCTAAAAGCATGAAGAACAGATGGAAGGAATAGGTCAACATGGTAGATTATATCGCAAACAAAAGAAACCCTTCATCCTGGATACCGGACATTAAAATATGTGAGGCAATTGTCACATTAGAGAAAATTAACACCACTTCCTTCTGTTACAGAAACATGACTGCAGTGTATAAAAATGAAATCACTTTGAAAAAAAAGTTAGGTACCTAAAGTTTGAAACTCGATTGGACAGTGGTTCATATTGACAGACGTGTCTGTGTAGTGTTGTTTTGATGTCATTAAGGACAAATACGTCACACCGACGTCCGTAGTTCGATTCCCAATATGGGTACTATATGTGAAGATTATTTGCGTTATAACCCGCTGTGACATAGCCTTACTGTTGATAAATACAGCTTAAAAGGATGTTTGTTAATTCAATGAAGTTTATTGGTATAAATGTAGCATCGTACACTGGATTGTTAGTGGCTGTATCCTCAAAGGGCTTAAAATATCTTAAAATTAGTGTCCTCCTGAGAGGGTACGTAAGTCCCAACACTTTCAAAGTATATTTAAACTTACCAGATCTTTAAACGTAGTATTTTTGTGATTTAAATTATGGGTTAACTTTCCTACAATTGCCAGCGGCTGAAGGTACGGTGTAAATCCAGCTAGGGTCCATGCAGGTAGCAAAGACACTGTAAGTCCCCATGGTCCCTAGTATGGTGATCTACCCTCAGTTGCCCTCTATAGCCTTTTTATATTGTATTGTCTTTTAGATTTTCATGCTAGTTTTATAATTATATCTGTCATATTCTAGTTATTTTTACTGTCCTTCGCCGACAGGTTTTTATAATTTGCCATGATTTATTATGCAGTTATATCTTGTCTTTAGTCACGATATGGCTGAAATATTGCCGATGTGACTTAAAATCTTAACTTACTCAATCACTCACTCATACACTGGACATTATAAGTTGTATTCTTCTCTCGAGAGTAATACGGTCTGATGTACGCCTGTTTCTAGCAGTGTCACCCGAGCCGGTAGGCGAGGGATGACACTGCCACGGAAAGACGTACATCATACCGTATTACCCGAGGGAGAAGCATACCATGTATTTATCATACCACCATGTTAAATGTACAAAACATCCTTTTATTTTATTTTGAAGATCGTTACCGACTGTTGAGTTGAGTGTGCAAAGGATTCAATGTATAACATAGTTTAAATAAGCTGTGAAAGTCAGTAAGATAAATCTGTACATAGTGAACTCAAAAACAGCTAATCGAAAAGTTCTCGAACTCCGGTCACTGCATGCGTCATATTATGACGTCGTACGATTGTTAGCGATACAGCTTCTCGGCGGATAGTTTAGCAGTTACCGTGGCAGCTGGTAATGTTTTTTCCAGTCGTCACCTTCCTGGGAGGGGTGATGCGGAAACTTGTTGAAGCGTCATTGACTGCACAAATTTGAATGTGAAACTGTCCTTATGTGCTAATCGCTTTAACTGTATGTTCATGAAACGAAATATTTATATTCTTTCGTAATGGTGCTTAAATTGTAGTGAATGAATGTATTTTGTATGATCAAATTTAGGGCTTGAAAGTGATTATTTATACATGGTAAAATGGTAATGGAAACATGTGTCAGTGATACAACATATCTCCAGACCTTTGGACTATGCATAGTAAACATTATAAACAAACTTGGTGTTGTAAGCGTTTATGAATATTGTAAACTGATATCAAAACCCAATGCCCAGTTCCATACACAAGTGATTCGCTATGACATGGAGAAGGCTTGGTAGTGGGGTTTGTTTTTTTGTTTTCTTCTTTTTTTTTGGTGGTGGGGGTTGGGGGCGGAACTGAGGCTTAATGAGCATAGCCTGCATAGTCTTCACTTCGACGTTTACTGTCTTATTCTCTAAATTGTTTTGATCCCATTCTAGTTTTCATTAACTACGAGGCTCCGTGTCTCTCTGGCGTCATGCAAAACGTACAACTACCGACATTGAAGTCCGACAATAGCTACCATACAGTGATGTCAGTTGTACCTTATAAAGTACCGTACACAACATTCCATTAATGTCGTGAGAAGACCTTTAGTTAAGCGGTATTGTTTACTTATCCGAGTTTAGTTAACCGGACTCTAATAGTGATAATTAATGAAGAAATTTGAAAGGACTAAAGAATAGTGTTTACTTATCCGGTCTGTTTAGTTAAGCGGTCTTTACTTAGGCGGTTTCCAGTGTACTTTAAATAAGTATGATTTATAAGGCAGCTTCCAAGGTAATGGAAGCGCATGGCTATTTATGTATGAAGATGTGACCATTTTCAAACGTTCCGCAACGAGGCCTACATGCAAATATCACCAAATTAATGTTGAAAATGTACACAAAAATCAACACTATTCTAAACGTCGTGTCGTATCCCTATATTATTTGTGGAATACATACTGCTTTGTTTGCAGGAACCGCTTTGACACGGCAGAAATACTATACAAAGTAGATGCAAACCGTACTCACGTTTTGAGGAAGAAGACACATTCAAGAATAAAGGACAAAACACTGGATGTCTGTTGGAAAACAAAACCATGAAGCACCAACGAAAGGACATTGATCGCGGATATGCATGGGTGGTTTGTGTTGCTTGCTTTGCTCTTGAGGTGCTCTGTGGTGCTCTAAACTCTTCACCTGGGGT